CCGCCCGCTTTCCCGTCCCTCCGCGTCCTGCGCCCCCGAGAGTCCCCACGCGCTTCTGCTTACGTGGGGAAGTTTGCGCGGTCTCCCTCCCTCTCCGCCCAACTTTCCAAGGTTGCCTGCGGGCGCTTGCACAAGCGGCCGAGCCCGCCCCGGCCCACTTCCTCCCCCGCGGCTTCCTGCTTCAGCGCCCTCCAGCTCGGCAGCACCTCGGCTGGGTTCCCATGGAAGGTGGATTAGGAGGGCGGGGTCGCTCGGGCGAACCCAGCCATCGGCTTAGCATGTTGTCGGGATCAGGTCATTATCGGGCAGGGCATGTTAGGTGACGCTTTTCAACATGTTGAGTGAACGCAGCCCAAGGGGCCCTGAAGAAGAAAGCTGATGGCTGGAAACTTCGCTGCCCCTTGGGCCGCCAGAAGGAGACCACCGGCGGAGCACTTCCTAGAGGACCTGGAAGTGAGCTAGTGGCCTTTTCCAAGTTTCCTGGTGCCTCAGCTGCATTGCAGTACTAGGAACCACAGTCTAATTCTTAACTGTTAATTACTGGACGGCTAGGAATGGCAGCGGCAGCAGCAGCGTCCTAAAGCTGGTGGCATCAGACCACTGTAGGTGCCATCACAAAAGTGAGAGAGGATGGTGAATAGGACAAAGGGCAAAACTGGTGTTTCTTTCCATCCCCACCCCCCAGTTTAAAATTATCTGAAAGTGATTCAGTGCTAGTGCTACAACAGGAATGGGCGAGGGGGCAGCCAAACAATGCCTGAAGTATAGCTTCTGGGGTTTGGCTGCACAAGTCTATTCACACTCAGAATTGTGCAGAACAGCATTTCTGAAGAGTAAGAAAGAACCTAGTTGATGCTGAAGCCATTTCAAGAAAAAGCAGAGAGCTCAAATGACTGAGCCTCCTAAGATTCTCACGTATCTATGAAGTCTTCACGGGTGACTGTGAGAGAGAACCAGCCTTTTAATGTGGGGGGGCTGCAAGTGACTTCGCAGGAAACCCATGGACTTCAGGGGAACAAGTGACAAGCATGATTAGAGAGACAGGCACCATAATGTAATGGAGGGGAGGATTGGCCATTGGAAATGGGGGGAGCAAACAGAGCATGATAAGGTATGCAAGGTAGTGGTTCACTCACATGTTATCCTCAGTATGTCATCACGAGCCCAGGAAACATGGTTGTTCAACAAATAAGCTGCAAGGACTGCTTAGCCTGGTCCAGTCCCCCTCGGTTCGGGCAGTTTGATCCTTTTTTTGCTGGACTTAAGGCTTGAATTTCACCTGGCTCGAGTCCACTTGGTGAGTTCACAGCAGAGAAGGTGGTGTAGGAACTGCCCTGGTTCACAGCTCCACCTGTTTTGCTGGCTGGTTGGTCTCTCTAGCTGAGGCCCAAAGAGGGATATCCCCAGTTTCTCACTCACTCACAAGGCACTGATTTTCCCCAAATGGGTACACGCGGTGAATCAAGCCTTGACATTTACAGACCACAGTGGCTTGAATGTACCTGGTTTGCTAAGCCACGCACATGCAAGCATATGATGGCTCAAGTATTAGGTGAAACAAGCAAAGAACCAGGGTAAAGCTAAAGATGCTGCAATGCACAATCATAATGGCAGAGGTATCTCTGGGGAGTGGCTTTTGGGGTGATGCTTCTTACTGACTCATTTTAGTGAAGTATTATTTCTAGAAAGAGTTCCAACATAAGGACTTATCCCATGGTTAGAGCTGCCCTCTGGTGAAAAGACAGTTCAGACAAAGTGAACTGGCAAAATAGGTCTTGTGGTGACACGACACCTTCTGTTCAAGATCAGCTTTTTCCCAGTTAGACTCGGGGGGGGGGGGATTCCTTGAAATCCCGGTGCAGCCTTGAAACAGGGAGCCTTTCCAGCCTCCCAGCCTTGTTGATCCTCTTCTGTTTGAGTCACTAGGTGAATGGTGATGGCTTGTGACTCAGCTTGCAAGGCTGAATGTTAAGAAAGAAATTGGGTATAAGGTTTAATTGCATGAGGACACTGGTAGGTCTGGCAGAGGCTTAATCTCAATTAGCAAAGGGGTGGGAACTGTTACTGATTTATTGAATCATGTGCTTGTGTTGACATGGACTTCACCCCCACCAACAGGAGGGCTCTGTCCACAAATGCCCTTTTCAGCAAGGGACAAAAAGCAACAGATGTTAATGTTTGGGTTATTTTGAGGGGGTGTGGCTGCTTAATGAGTGGCTGGAGGAGAAGCCAATGAGGGTAGGGAAGGGTAGCATTCCGAACTACTGTATGCGATTGGTCAGTTTCTTGCATCCTGGAGCCAACTGGTCAGGCTCTTTTGTGTGTGAGTGTGTGTGCCTTCGAGTCAGTGTTGACTCCTGGCGACTGCCTGGACCAGTCCCTACAATTTTCTTGGCAAGATTTTGGGAGTGGTTTGCCCTTGCCTGCCTCGTAGGGCTGAGAGAGAAGGGCTGGCCCACGGTCACCCAGCTGGCTTTGTGCCTAATGCCGGGCTAGAACTCAGGGTCTCCTGGTTTCTAGCCTGGTGCCTTCACCACTAGACCAACTGGCTCTTGGTCAGGCACTTTGGATCATATTAATCCTAGGGAAAAGTTAGATTGTGCAAATGGAAGCCTGGAAGGAGGACTTCAAAATGCAGAACAGATGGTAGAAAGGGAAATGGGTATTCTTACTGGTTGACCAAATCTTTCACTTTTAAAGGTTTTATGCTATTTTCAGAACCAAAGCGCACACAGTAAAAAAATACCAGCCCAAAAAAACAGGGTGCATTTGTAGTGCAGATGAATGCTTCTGCAGAGGATGGAAAGGCATTCCTGCAGATTCCTTCTCCAGCCCCTGCCCCGTCTGCTTACTCTCAGTGCCTGTGTGACAGGTGGCCCTGGGTCTTCGCTCTAGGCCAGGGGGCCCTTGCTTCCCCACAGACCCCTTTGAATTTCGATAAAACAGCAGGTCTCAGGGGAAGCAGCAGGAGCGTTCCAGTTATCCTTGGCCAATATGTGATCTGTCAGTCCAGCTAAGTACTGCATCTGGTTCCTGAGGGTGAGAAATAAGGGCCGTGCAGACACGTGAGTTAAGCATCCAGGCATCTTTCTGTACAGCCAGAAGCCCCCTCTGCTGTGGGTTCCTTCATCTGTTCCGGTCCCCTTAGAAAGAAGAGAAAAGAGAAGCTGAGGGGGGGGGGGTGTTGGGGAGAGGCGATACCCTTTTCTTTCTTTCAGAGAACCCAGCCGGTTGTCTAAAGAAGGAGGGGTCTATTTGGAAGTTTACTCAAACCATTCTCACCTCCTCCCTCTCCTCTTCAGTGCTGGGCAGAGGGTGCTGCGTCCCTTTCTGTGCCTCTGGAGGTGGGGAAAAGCTCTAGATTTACGACTTTTGGCAGGGACAAAAGCCAGCTCCCCTCCTCCCCCCCAACTGTGCTTCATTTACAATTCCAATGAGCTATGCAAGGACGGGGCGAAGATGGGAGGTGAGCATGCCATTAAAGTTTGCTCCAGTCCTGCCTCCCAACTGGATATGATTGGGACTTGCTCTGTCATCTTCGTAGTTGTTGCTTTAATCCCTGGCAATTGTCTTCAGTAGGGAGCTTTCCCCTTCCCTCCAGAGCATCAAGACGATGGACCTTGTTTGGCTGCGGGTCTAAACAGACTGAGTCCGGGGGGGGGGGCAGGAATGCCCATCCTCCCACGCTCAGGAAGTGGCTGTGGTGCACCTAACAGGTCCGGGTTGTGCAGGAGACGGGGCTAAGAGTGTTACTTCTATTTTCAAAACAACACAGCTGGGTTGTACTGGTCTCCTCTTGAAGTTGAGAAGCAATATTTAGAGTGTTGACAGTGTGGATTGTTGTCTATAACTGCCTATCCTGGTCAGTTTACTCTTTTAAGGAGTTTTACTCTGTTCTTGTGCTGTATTCAGTTACTTACGTGCAACAAAACCATAAGAGTCCCCAACAGCAGGCTTATAACACCTGAAAAAGGTGAGGGGAGAAGAAGGGGAAAGCATCAAACTAGGGGTCTAAAGGTTAAGGGGGGGATAGTATTTGTCACTCACAGAATGGCTCCTGAACTGGAACAGATAATCAGTTTTGCCCCTTCCATCACTCTTTTTGCATCTTGCTCTGGCTATTGTCAATAAGTCAGTAGGTAGACACGTACAGTATTCCAGGTATTTGGGGTTGGGAATGTGTCTCCTGCCTTCTGAGCCACAAGCCATTCCAGAATTTAGTAATGCCCTTGACCCATAAGTCAGGATCAGGAGCAAGGCTGTGTTGTGATAACAGGATGGCAGCCCAAACAGGGCCAGCTCACAGAATGTCCCTCAAGTTTGTAAAGTATCTTTTCTTAGGAAAACTGTCCCATCATTCTTGAATATACCTGTGGTAGGGTAGCAACCCCAGGGGAGGCAGGAAAGGGCCAAAGCGTTTTGCAGCAGCTGAGGAAGAGGGGGCAAGGCATTGGGAAAAATCCTGCTCTCCAGGAGATCTTCCCAAATCTGCCTTTCACAGCTCTGGACCCTGGGCTGAAGTGGGTGTGTGTGTGTGTGTGTGGCTTGAGCAAGGGGTCAATCTTATGATCTTCATTCCCCTTCATTCTTCCCTAAATACAAAAGGGCACCTGGAGTGGGAGGTAATCTTCATGGACAGAGATCAATGGCCTGGCCTTTGTGGGCTCCTGTCCGTGGCATCTGCTGGAGAAGAAGCAGTTCTGGTGGTGCCACGTTTGACTTCACAAGGCACCTGATGGCTACCTTGGAAAACTGAATCCTGGGTTTGAGGAGCCTTGGGGTTGGATTCAGCCATTTTTCTTGCCTCTTATTGGTCTCCTAGATCTTCCCCTTATTAGACCGGTCTCTACAAAAGCTTCAGGAGCTTAGGGGAAACAGGAGGGATCTCATTCTTTTTCCATTTTGGCCCTAGTTCTACTGCAGGTCTTGAACAGATGTTGCATTTATGTTGCTTTTGTGGCTTCCTGGCAGCCCAAAGGGGAGGACATTTCTCTTTTCCTTTATGACTATTGGCATTCTGGACCAATTGGCCAAGTCTTTACCCTTGGCCCCAACAGTGGTGTTTGCTTCTGCAATTGCAGGATAGGGGTTTCAGGAGAACTCAGTGTTTTAAAGACCTTCCTGACCCACTTCATGAGAAGATGGAATGGGGTTCAAATCAATTGCTAATTCCCAGCTCCTTATCTGAAAAAAAGAAAGAAAGAAAAGAAAAGAAAAGCAACGTGTAAGTATCCTGACACAGGATCTCAAGATTTATATCCCATCTCGCCTCTCTGGGCCTCTCTGGTGTGATGCAGCAGTTGTGGAACTTAATTCCTGGTTTGGGATGCCCACACGCTTCTTCTGAAGAAGAAAGAGGCAACTGGATTCCAGTTTTGTCCAGTTTTGTTCAACTGTAGTTTATTAGAAATCACAATTAGCTGGATTTGCATAACCTGCAAGCCAAAACCAAGCAAACCAAATTGCAGTTTAAACCCAGCCCGGGAGCTGCTGCTGTGTTTTCGCTGTTTCGTGGCTCCAGTGAAGTGCGGTCTGTTCAGGTAGATCTGTACTCTAGTACTCGTGTTTTAGCTGTGGAGACAAGCTGGTGCTGGTCCTCTGCACACACCCGCACGCAGCGCTCAGGTCAGTTTGTTAGTAGCTTGCCACTGCCTGGATAGCGGAAACAGACTTCGATGCCTGTTGATTCCATTTGTTCTTTGTTTACAGAAGGAGAAGAAATTGATGTGGTGACTGTTGAGAAGAGGCAGGCTTTGGGGACAAGGAAGCCGGTCACCATCACAGTGCGGGCTAACCCCCTGGATCCCTGCATGAAGCATTTCCACATCGCCATCCATCAGCAACAGCACAACTACGCTGCCCGCTCCCCACCTGATGCTCACACCTTTCAGGGGCCTCTGGAGAAAGGCAGCCGGGAGCCGGGGGCTGACGCCAGGGAAGGTGACCCACAGTCACCCGGGCAAGGGGTAGAGAGTTTCCCTCCTGTATCTTCCCTCCCCAAGGCTGGGAGCACTCCTGGCTCGGACAGCGAGGATGTGACCAAGCGGAAAAACCACAACTACTTGGAGCGCAAGCGGCGGAATGACCTCCGTTCGCGTTTCCTGGCACTGAGGGACCAGGTACCCGGTCTTGCATCTTGCTCCAAGACCCCCAAAGTGGTGGTCCTGAGTAAAGCCGCCGAGTATCTGCAATTGCTTCTCAGCGCCGAGCAGCAAATGGTGGCTGAGAAGAAGCTGCTGAAACTGCATCAGCTTCAGCTACTGAAACAGATTTCACATCTGCAGGGCACCCAGTAGCTGCGCAGGCTTCCCGGGTTTTCGGTTGCATCAGCACTTTTTGGTTGGTTTTGGGTTGCGGACTCCTAATGGACTATTGTTCCCAGCATGCACTGCCACTGCACTCCGCATGGGGCTTGTTCTTATTCTGCTACTCCCACCCCCGATTCATCTGATTTCTGTTCCTCCTTCCAGGAGACGGAGCGGGGCTTCAGCTACCCAAACACGGCTCTTGCCGCGCAATGTTGGATTGTGCTCAAAGCCCGCTCTTTAAGAGGGTGGATCTTTCTGCAAATGTCGCTTTTTCATAGTGTGACTATAGTCAAGTTCTCTTTCTCATTCCCTCCCTCCTGGACCAAGGCTTTTCCCTTTCAGGACTTGGTTAGAATTGGCTTTTTATGTTCCTCCACAAACGGTGAGAAGGTTTGGGGAAGTCCTTTGCACAGCAGGAGTTGAAGGGTGCTGAGATCTGCCTGGAGCCACAGCAAGGAGGACCTCTCCAGCGGAACCTCTGGCTTCAGGGAGACCTAATTCCAAGGAGCGCAACCCACCGGGGGGATTCACAGGGGCACTCAAGGGTCTGGTGCAAAAGGCATTTCCTGCCATGGGTGCTGTCTGCCTTTCAGAGTTCTTCTGGTCAAATGGGGGGGGGGCGGCTAAAAAAAGTCACCCCACCTCACTCCTTCACTAGAAAGGCACTGCGGTCACCTTGAGTTTGATTTACCTCATTCTTTTTCCATTTAGATGACAAACCAGGGCTTATCTTGGAGTTTGTATATCCTGGAACATAATGTAGTGACTGCCTCATTCTTTGTACTGGACTGCTTTTTAAAGATATATACTGTATTTTTGTATTTTTTTAGAGTTTTTTTTTTTTTTTTTTGGTAAAATGCTGGCTCTTTCTCCTCCCCCCTTTGTTTCTATTCCTAAAAATACCCCCTCAAGCCAGGGTGGAGGGGAATGAGTCAACCTGGCTCCCCTGGGAAACAGCTGCTTTCCAAAAGCCGGGATGACTGGAAATTCTTCTCGCAGGGAGGGAGGGAGGGAGGAGGCTGGTCCCAACTTGTAAGCTCCAGCAGCAGATGCCCTAAGGGCCTTTCTGGTGGGAAGCAGAGCAGACCCTGTACCTCCAAGCAGACTCGGAGGTGGGGCTCTTATCCCGGGCAAAGCAGAAAAGGGCCGCTCTTGTACCTGTCCCAAATGGCTCTTAACCCACCTTTGTGACAAACCAGACTGGCTGCTGTTTGGGGGCTGCAGCAGAGCAAGTGAGGTGCAGGCCCTGGCTTGCAGGAGCACGAAAGACTATCTGCGTAGGGCCAGGTGAGCGAGGAGGTCACCAAGCTTAACGAAAGGGCAGGGCGCATGGGGGTGAGGGGATGCGGTGTGCGTGCATTTTCCCTGGGCCTTTAGCTTCATGTGCACTACAAACCTCACCTGGGAGAGGCTGATGGGCCTGATGCTTCCAGAAACGGTCCTTCTACGCAAGGACGCTGCACTCATCCTTTTCTTTTTCACCTGAAGAGCCACCCCGGCCGGGATCCTTGCTGGCAGGATATGCAGAAAGACAGTCGTGTTTACCCACTGCCAAGGACTCCCATTTACTGTGGGCTTTACTCCCGGGAAACCACACGTGGGATTGCAGCCTTTGCTCCCGAGAGAGGGGCTGAGCAGTGTCTCCCTTTGCCTGGCCGGCCACAGAGCTTTCCCGCCCTCTCCTCTCAGCTGGGCAGCCTCCTCACTTTATGCAAATCCCCACCCATCCTCCTCTGTTTTCGGAGGGGGGTGATGGGCCCCCTGCTTTGTTCCTGCTCAGCTGGCGCGCGAAGCAGCCAGGGCATTCCTCAGCCGGCCCTCAAGCTTCGAGGCTGGGTGGTCGGACTTAGCACTTTGTTACCTCACACTTCTGAAATAAATCAATGGCAAAAGGGCAAACCAGTGTGGTGTCTTCTTCCTTTGGGGGGGGTCGGACTCTTAGCTGGGGGAGGTGGCTTCTGCTGAGTTGAATCCAACTGAAACAGCTGTTTTGTAGCGAGAGCAGAGCAAGGAGTATTTGTGCTTTTATGGAAACTTCCCTCGAGACCGGATATCTTGAATTGTTCAACAAGTTCCTCTGGATTCATGAAGTGGGAATGATTTATGCGCCCAGATTCTTGTAGGCAACGTCCAACAAATTTAGGGGTATCTCATGATTCCCCACCCCCCACCCCCATGCAAACAGGAGAAGCCACTTTGGGGTTATGCAGCAAAATTGGTTCTTTGTAGACCCAGGGCCTGTGTTGAGCTTTTTGGCATCTAAAAAATCCAGTGCTGCATTTTTAATCCAATAAAGTGGTTCGGGATTTTGTTTGCTCTTAGTGAGAGGTTGATGGTTTGTACTCCCACTTTACAAATGCAGGATAAGGACGGGGAGCTTGTTTTTTCAATGCTAGAACTGGGATTTGGATCAAGATTCAAAGGTAATAAAAATCTATGATCCAAGAGGTTTTATCAGACCAACCAGATGACCAGGCTGGGAAAGGCTGGCCCAATCCACCATCAGTTGTGAATGTGGTACATGATGTCGAAAGAGAACCATAGAGGCATAGATGTAAGGTTCTGGCAAGCCCAGTTAAGGGTTCCTGGGTTCTTCAGCTGTTGCCATGAACATGGGACTAGCAGTTCCACCCAAGATCTGTGTGTAAACAAGCTGGATTCACACAACGTATTAAACCCATGTTAACAAAGTGCAATCCTGCATTCACATAACATGTCTAAAGGGGTAAACACTATTACATGTCAGCTTGCTTCAGTGCAAACTGAATCACAAACTAGCAACAGATTTTAGCTTAGTTTAGCATGTTGTGTGAACCTGGCCCAAATGTCTTATGCGTTATGCCCTAATCTGGTTTCCTTGTTTCTGGATCCCATGATGTTTCTGGCTAGCGGGCTTATTCAGCTACTCTGCATTAGAACGTAAGAGGACAGTGTGTCAGTCTGTGGTAGCCAAATGTCAGATTAGCAAGTGAAGTGAAGTGAATGATGTTTCTGGCTAGCGGGCTTATTCAGCTACTCTGCATTAGAACGTAAGAGGACAGTGTGTCAGTCTGTGGTAGCCAAATGTCAGATTAGCAAGTGAAGTGAAGTGAAAGTGCCTTTTAATAATGTGTTAGTCTGAAATGGGGCTACCAGGCTCCTCCTGATTTTACCTTTAATGGAGTGGCAGCTCTGCTTTGCCCAATCACAGCCTGACAGATACAGTGCTGAACTTCAGCCTCCCCAAAATGCAGCCTTCCATCCAGACTGAGACTGGAATATCACCATCCCTGGAAGGCCAACATGCTCAACATGGAGTCTTAAGGATGGAGGCTGGGAGCCTCGCTTGCACGGCTGCCCTTTCTGATTGCTGTGTATGGAGAACCACCTGCAAAGGAAGTCTGTGGCTGCTCCCTGCTTCCAGAACAAGGGGTGGGCAGCCCCCAGCCCCTGTCTATTACCACCAGCAGCCCTCTCCCCAGTCACACTGCTGAAATTCATTTACAAACTGCCATTTAATTTTTCTAACTTGCATGAAGAAACTAACATAGAAGCGCTAAGTCTCTACCGAAAAGGGAAAATAGGGCCAAAACTCAGTCCTACCTCTAGAGTGTCTTTCATAGACTGGGGGAGGTGGGTGACATATACATTTAATAAATAAATAATAATAAATAGACCACCTGATGTAGCTCGTGTCTTCAAGAACTAAAATAACGAAAATGGCAATTGCAGCTGCAGGGCAAGCCCCCCCCCCCCCATCTGTTCTGCCCAGAGTGCTTTTGGTCTGGTTTAGAGGGGATGTTTCTACTGAAAAAGACTTCCAAACTGGAAGCTGTTATTTGCAGATTTTCATCCTGCAGAAGAGCACTCAAGATTCTGTGTAATAAAAGGAAAGTAGGCAGCCGCAGAAATGCTTCAGGCAGCATCACAAAAGCAGAGTTAGCGGTGAGGCAATCTCTGGCCTCCTGACCCATGCCCAGGCCCCAGAACCACCAAATCTTCCAACGTGGAGCTCCTCAGGAGGCAGCCGGTACCACTGTGTAGTTTGGGGGTGGGGTGGCAATGCCCTCCTAGGATGCCAGGTACGGAAAGGCAGCCACAGAACATTCCTCCAACTTACCCTGGGAATTTCTACACCCCCAGTGTGTGATCTGCACCTGAGGCAAAGACTTTGCACAGGGAAGGCAAAATGTCCATCTTCCCCTAGCACATGCCTTTTGTGATGCTATCCCACGGAGTCCTTTGGTTGTATTCACGTGACACACTTAACCTGATCAGTTGCAGATTTAGTTACTGCATTGCACAGCACCCCGACCTTGGTTGGTTTTAATAATTTTGATTCTTGCAGGGGGAGGTTAGTTTGTCGCATGAAGCCAGCTGATTTGGGTACAGCATGCGTCAATGCACTGTGCAAATCCTGAAAATTGATTCATTATCAGGTTAAGCATCCTGTGTAGATACATTCTCTGTATATATATATATATATATATATATATATATATATATATGTGTGTGTGTGTGTGTGTGTGTGGATATACCTACAAAATGTAATTCAAATTCTTCTTCCACAACATTTTGACCATACAAGGAAAAGAATCAAGCTCACACTTCTCCAACAAGAGTATGTGTATTCTATCTGCAACTGTGAAGAGCAGAACAAAGGAGAACTACTGGTCTTGAGATTGACCAAAACATGCTTATGGAACACCTATTTACTTTGAATGCGTCATCTGCATATTTGATAAGTATTCCCCCCAACTTTTCATCTAATATAGCAGAGGACCAGGGACTGATCCTGTAGCACTTCACTTAATACTCTGATGAGGAATCAATGATGAGCATTCTTCAAGTACAGTTTTCAAGCCAGCTGCATATCCACAGTCATGCCCACAGGTAACTAGCTTGCGAATCTGCATGTCATGGTTTTTTTTTTTAACAATTGCTTTGTTGAAATGAAGATATATTGTGTCTACAGCATTCCCGCAATCTATTAAGGAAGCCTCTGATCAAAAAATAAAAATAAGTTTATTAATACTGCAGATGACATAAAGTTGGATATGTTAGCTAACACTCTAGAAGACAGAGGGAAAAATCAAGGTATCCTTGAGAAGTTACAGAGAAATAGGCTAAAAATAACACAATTTTTTTAACAGAGATAAATGCAGAGTTCAACTAGAAACAGAAGTCAAATGTACAGGTACAGGATGGAGTATGTCTGGCTTGGTAACAGTTGTAATGAAAAAGATCCTTGGAACAGTACTTGATTGTCACCTAAGTAGAAGTCATCAGCATGCAAAAAGGGTAAATGCAATTTTAGGATGCTTCAACACTATCATATTTCTAAATCACTGAAAATTCCACTTTTTTGTACATTGGTCAGACCCCACCTCAATCATGTCCAGTTCTGGAAATCACACTTTTAAAAGGGATTCAGGGGCATCAGAAGTTCAAAGAAATCCAATGAGAATGGTCAAGAGTATTAAAATGTAAATCCTATACAGAGACAGAAAGAGCAGGTATGTTAAGCATTGAGAAGAGAGCGCAGTCCTCCATTACCTGAAAGGATCTGACCCAGACCTCTTGTTCTGGGTCTTGCAGGACATGGAATAATAGATTTAGAATCCCAGAAGGCAGATTCCAAGTGAACGTGGCTAAGTTTTTTTTCTAACTGGAAGAACAGTTGGACAGTGGACCCAGTTACTGAGGGAGATGGGGCCTCCCCTTTGCTGGCTGTATTCAGGCAGGGGATACTTTAATCTGGATTTCCACATTGAGCAGAAGGATGGATTCAAGTCTAAGAATGCTTTTTGTCCTATTTTGCTTAGAAAGCATTTCCACTTACAACATGATGTTTTTGATGTTGTTTTTGGTTTTAATCTAGGTGTGTAAAAGCTTCATGTATTTTTCATATTTTGCTAAAGGGCGAAAGGGAGGTTACTTCATGCCTCGGTTAGTACATTTTCAGGCCATTTTGGCTGAGCCTGCTCTAATCCCATCTCCTCCAATTACATTGCCTGCTCTCCCTGTTGCTATGGCAAGAGATGTGAGTTGCTAGGGGAAAAGACATCTCCCCCCTCCCTTTGTTGCTATGGCAGAAAATTGCTGAACCTTTCTGCTACCTTGGCAATAGCTTCCATCTCCTTGGTAACTGTCTCTCCATCCTTTTTCTTCTCTGCTTTTTGTTGCTACGGCAACAATCCCTTTCTCTTGTCTTTGGTCACAAGTTCATCTCTTTATCCTTCCCTGGGGCATCTGCTCTTCCAAACGGTTGCCATGGTAATCTCCCTCTCCCAACTTTGCTTACCCAATCAACCTTCTCTTCTCCCCTTGTTTGCCCCCCCCCGCATCAGCCCACTGGGCACCAGATGTGACACGGCAAGGGCAGACACCTGACAGGCCAGCCTCTTAAACCTGGTGTCTTCCTGATGTGTTAAGACTCCAGCTCCCATCATCCTTGATTTGGAGGGCCCAACTGTGGTAAGTTGGGGGGACTGTCTTAGAGATCCAGCAAACCAGGTGATTTACTATGGCTCCAGAAATAAATTCAGTGACAGAGACCACACATTACACCTAACTATGGCTCTGATTATTAAGCAAACCATAGTCTGTTACGCTTGTATAACATGTTGATCCAAAACCATCCATGACATAGCAATATGATGTGTGAACTCCCCAATGGAGAGACCAGGGAGGGGCAAATGTCCAAGATGCAAGTTCCTGGAGGACTGGGGTCCTAAATCAATTGGTGCACTTCATAGACCTTGTAGTGCAGTGTCTGCTGTGACACTAGGCAACTGTGGAGTAGTTAATGCATCCGAGGGAAACAAACCATGACTTTACGCTAGGTGTAACTGCAGCTGAAATCGCAGAAATTCCTGGCAATTCCAGGGGATGTTTCAGGTCTGGTCTTGGGAAGCTGTCATTCCAAGGTGAGACTGGGAACCCAGAGTTTGGGACTCTGAAAAAGTCTGAAATCAGGGAGACGCTCTAAAACAGGGTTCCTCCACCTCAGCGACTTTAAGGTGGGTGGACTTCAACTCCAGAATTCCCCAGCCAGTTAGGTGTAATGGCTGGCTGGGGAATTC